ATGAAACAAAAGCAGCAACAGTGGCAGAAGTAGCAGTAAAAGTGGTAGTAGTAGAAATAGAAGTAGTAGTTGTAGGAGCAGTAATAGTAGTTGTAGTGGAAGTAGAGGTAGTAGTAAAAGTAAAAATGATATGAGGTAGTTGAAGTAGTGGTAGGTGTAGTAGTAGGAGCAGTAGTAGTGGTGTGAGTTGCAGTTATAGCAGGAATATAGTGAAAGAAGTGATAGGGCATATAGTAGGTAGTATATTATTAGGGTAGTAGTAGTATAGTATTAGTAGTAGCAGAAGAAGTAGTAGCAGTCACTGAAATAGTAGTGTAGCCGTGGCAGCAGTAGTATTAGTGGTATCAGTGAAAGTATAATGGTAAAGTCATGATACCGCTATTATTGTACTCTATTAATTACTGAACGACGATTCTATTCACCATTTTCGTAACTTGGGGCTTTCAGGTAATGGTGATATAATAGTGAAGACCATTTTTATTTGTATTTATACGAGTGATTGACAAAATCGATTTCGACCGCGAAGCTGGGATTTAGGTTGTTAATCACGAATATGATGTCAAACAGAGTTGAACTGAACTAGATATGACAAAGATTTTGGGAGAAAAATACCCTTTGGTATTCAAGAATAAAAACAAAGCAGTAGATGTTTCGCCACGGAGAAGGAAGCATAGTCTATATAACTGCTCGCAAGTAACGCGTCGTTAATGTCAATAATGACACTTACGCTAAAGCCTCAGAGTCGGCCTGTCGGCGTTGCAGAAAGCGCGTTTCTCCGCTCGCGGAAGAAGATTTGAGGCAAGTCGGGGAAAGGTATGCCGGAGGTCTGAACCCCTTTGGAACTTCTCGGTCCGCGTTGATCAAAGCCTCATACGTTCCCGCAAGGGAAGAAACGCTTCATAATCCTGCTCATAGGCTACTTACACTGGCCTATCGGAGCTAAAAGCGGGCAGCTAATGATAAATTACTTTCCAAAATTTCGATAAATTTAACTCCCAAATAAAATTTCGAAAATTAGTTTCCATTTAATTGACCGAATTACGGTAAGGCCGCTTGTTCGAAAGGCGATTGGGGCTGATCCGGAATTGAAATTTTATGTCAAACTTCATTTTATTTTACCTCACACAATGCAGATACAGCCTTTGTTTCGTTTTTTATTTTGATGTAACCCACGATTGTGCGCCTAATAGACTTTTGTTTCATGCATCCCCGACAAGTTGCTTTTGCGTCATTGCGTCAGTAACACAGTCATAACTGACTGTACCTAACAACGTTATGTTACTTACAAAGGTTTAACAATACGATATTGTAATTAACAAGCAGAATTTAATTCCAACGAGAAAGATTTAATATGAGTCTGCGTTCTCACAACGGTTTCTTTGGATAAACCTAGGCTGTTGGTCGACCTCTGTTTATCTGTCTTCTGGATTTCATAAATTCAACCTCCAGTAAAAGTGGAAAAGGAGGGAGGGGAGGAAGGAGGGGCTTACAGCTGTGTCGGATAATCACAACCTTTTCTTTTGGATAGCTTAGATCTCATCTTCTTCTTCCTCTATTTCCTCTTCAACGTCGCTCGTGTCTTCATCCACATTTCCATCATGGCTGTCCCTCGTATATCCTGCTCCTGAAGACCTTCTTGATCCGCTGTAATTAACCTGGGACCCAGTCTCCTCCAACTCATCGTCCGAGTCGACATCTACGATTTTTCCATCCTTAGTAACCAAGTCCCTTACCAGCGCCTCCTCTACGCCTGCGCTACGAAGGATATCCGCATACTTTCGCTCTGCGGCGCGCCTTGCCGTGGCTTGAGATTGCTGCTCAAAGAGCAGCGGTCGTTTATTCACACGGTCCTGCATCTCCTTCAGTTCCTGGTTGTATTCTTCTCTCCGTGCCCGATCACCTTCCCTGTAGGAAGTAGATAATGTCATAGAATGAATAACTGTAGTTCCCCGGAGACACTGTACATACGACTGATGTAAGGACCGAAAATCGACAGCCTATTCCCTCTAATCGAATAAAAGACGAAAATTAAATTGGCAAAAAAAAAGTCTGCAATCGGAATACCTAGTTCTTGTTTAGCCTACAGGATAAGCAACTAAAATTGATTTACTGGTCCTACCACCATCAAACATCGAACTTTTCTCTACGTAATAAAAAAACGGCGTTACTCATTTACGTCAAATAATGGATGGAAACGCCTGTCTGACATGCGCGCGTTGCTGAGCGTGCAACGAGCAGCCACTCCGAGGGAACTGAGACGTTTCCGCTAATCAGCTCAATATTTGAACCTACAAAGACGTCCCACTCTCATCGCGTGTTATCAACTGAAACACGCGTGTTTGCGAGATTTCTGTGGCTATAGGAGCAATGCGCTTTAGAATTAAAATAAGTTACTCGTCAATAAAAAGGTCACTCACCTGAAACTTTGAACCTTTTCTTTCGCAGCCTTTTTCAATTGCGCGCTGTGATCATTCGCCATGACTTTTCGCGTCACTTCTGGTTTTAATATCTTTTGTCGGCGCTGCCTCTGTTGCACCTGTTTTATCTCTTCTTGCTCATTTGCTCTTCTATTTTCTAGGCTCCTGCGGATTGTACTTTCGCGCAACCGCGCAGACTCTGTGATTCTGAAAGAAAAATGTTCACGAAGACTTCAATATCAGTATCTGAGCAACTGCGCTCCTACTCAGATACTGACTTTGATCTTAAAACTCTATCAAATCCTTATAGGGGCGATAAGAAGGGCAAATAAAATGTTCACCACAATTGTAAGATTCATCACGAATGCAGATCTTACACCAAGGTTGATACATGCCCGCTAAGTTTCTTTTGGCTTTTTTCCCTGTAAAATAATACGTGACATCAAGTAGTACACAACTACTATTCCATTTTGGCCTTCTTTTAAAATACAAAATAGTGAAGTTATACCTATTAATTTCATAATCGTTTTTTGATTCGAAAGAAAAATGAGCACTCTAAGAGAGACAGAAATTCTACGCTTACGGCCACGTTAAGGGACAGCTTTGAATTTTAAGCGTGGTGGGCTCTCTTTGACTGTATACTATGCATTCTGAGATTGTTCGTTGTCCTTTATCCATCAGAGTTCAGATGTACCGCGACGTCATATAGGAATTTTCTCCTTTTTTTTGTTCAACAACGCGCAAAGTTTGGAGAATATGGGAGGGATTTTTCTCTCTTTGCTCACTTTGTTTCGTCTAACAAAGCGCACAGTTTGGAAAAGATGGGCCGGATTTTTCCGTTTTGAACAAGTAAAGGCTTCAAAGAAGTGAGACAGGGTCTTATTTAAAGTAAGGAAAAGAAACCGAGTCCTTAGAGGCGTGAAAAACCTCTGAAGACTGAAATATAGATGGAACAGTCGAGGGTTGCACGACAACTTTGTAATTTAGTTCACTTCACATTTCCTTCTATTGTAAGACAAGAAAGATTCCTTTGTGTGGTGTCATGCAGCAGTTTTTTATCATAGAGGACGCAGAAATGAGATTAGAAATTCGAATGACGTCAAAATATAGTAAGGAACATCAGTGACACACTCAGCTGCGTAGACTATGAGCAACCCCTGATTTTTTTTACCTCGAGCGAAAGACCTCGTCTAAAAGGAAAGATTGTTGGAGGTCAATCTGCCGTGCATCGCATGCCAATTTTTCGCTCTCATCACATTTTGACGTCATCTGTGATCTTTTACTAAAAAAGACGCGTAGTTAGATGGAATCTATTTGTTCAGTGGATTTATGCTTACCCAAAAGGAAGTGTATCATGTGGTGTGGATGACCTGGCACTAGAAGGTCTTTCCCTGCTAGCCGAGCGATCCCGGGACGATCTGCCAGTATCCGGGACCTCTTGAGACCTAGAGGACCTCGCCTTCCTTGTCGTGGATAGACGCGCTGTTCTAAGATTGAATGGCTCTACAACTGTAGGTTCCAGCTCCTTTTTCTTATTCCTCATCTCTTTTTCAAACTGTCTATGAAGCGCATCGAACTCAGGCACGTCCGGGTTAATTTGCGGTCGAAATTTGTGGTCTTTGGTCATAAAAGCGTTTTTATTGCCTTCTTTGTTCAGCTTACTGCGGAAATGACCAAGCGTGTATTCTTCCCCTCTCGCTTCCATATTTGGAGGGAGACGTGACACAGCTAGTGTTTCCTGCGCTCGCATACGTATGCGAATTGCTCTGTACTCCTCTTTTTCGGCAATCCTATCTGCAAGAGTCAGATCAAACAAATGATCAGGAAATGGGTTAGCTTTAAACTTCTTTTTTTCATCAATTTTGTTCTCGAGTTCCGCGAGATTGCTTAAAGATTTGGTCCGACGCATTTGTTTCTTCTCCTCTTCGCGCTTCGTGAATTTGAACGGTTTTTCAGTTGATTTGAGGATCGCTTTGCTTAGTTCTTGTACGTGATATCTTCTCAGTTCATTCTGCCGGGTAATCTCGTCATAAAGTGGCAGAAACGTCGTAGCGGGAACAGGCTGCGCACGGAATTTCTTATGCAACTCAGCTTCCTCTTTTTCTTTCTTCTTCTTCAAATCTTCCTGAAGAATCATTTGTGATCTGGTCATGTTTTTCGCCTTTTTCTTGGCCTCTCTCATCGTCATTGTAAATGGTTTAGGAATGGTGATCTGCGGGGTCCACTCTTTCTTTTTCGCATGTTTTTCGCGCGGTGGGCTGGCCTCAGGGGGGTAATCATAAACTGAGAAATCTTCCCACATGTTCTCGACCACATCCAGCGCGGACGATCTCTGCGGATACATCTCCTTGTACAGGACTTTGTGATCTTCTGATCGACTCCTGGTAGCATCTCTGTCCTCATCCTCCCAGTATTCTCCATCTAAAGGATCACTAAAAGATCTTCTTCGTGAAGCTTGCAGTTCCTCAAAAGATGAGTCTCCTGCAGAAAAAAAATCAAAAAGTTAAAAATAATACTTTTGGGAGAAAACGGCTCGATCTTAAAAAACAGATGTCTATCAAGACCTAAGAAATACTTCCCTCTAGCTGCTGCCCCCTAGCTAATTACCTTTAAATTCTTAAATTCCCCCTAGCTAATTACCTTTAAATTCTTAAATTCCCCCTAGCTAATTACCTTTAAATTCTCAGGATCCCTTTGCCTAATAATGTTTTGATATTGTAAGGAGAAGTTGTAAGTGACTTATCTCTAGGATTGAGTGTTATGAATGACTCAAAGTGAGCTTTGCCATCCTGAAAAACTTGATAAAGAAAGTATCCATGACTTATGCATAAGCTTCTAGAAAATTTTTGCTTCTCCAGTTTGAAGGTTTGGTGTTTTCATGGCAGTTACCATATTCACTCAATACTTATCTCAATATTTACTCAATACTGCCACATCAAGGAGTGGTTTGCTTATTTGGGGATTATGCAAATCAAGCGCAAGTAACGGTTTTTCTCATCTAAAACAGCCTTAATTTTATTTTCTTGGGCCCAGTTGTCTAAAGATCAATTAGTGCTAACCCAGGGTTAAATTATCATTCAAGTTTCTTTATTCCTATTTTCTAAAGCTGTTATTGGGATAATTTTCTCTATTCTCTTCAGAGCATCCAATCATCAAATTATAGAAAAAACGAGTTATAGTGAATTTTCTTTTCAAGCTTTCAGATCTGAAATCAGATTTCACTCTAACCCTGGTTTATCTCAAACCAGCTATGAACAACCCAGCCCTGGACAACAGTGTCCTACAGTTTATAAAAGGTACACTTCCAGTCTATTCCAGTTCACTCTTCTACTCTAGTTCCAGAGCGATGAGACACATTGAGATCTTGGAACAATAAAGAAAAACAGTTCAAGGCACAAGCCCACTTTCCTCCAAAATCCAAACATGACCTGCACACATTGTTATTATGGTCAAAGAGAGGTATTGGAACAAGCAAGAACTTTTTCTGGATGACTCAAGAGAATCTACACAAACATTACCACCCTTTTATGGTTTTAGAATATATGTTTGACTTGATGTTCAATGCTCTTATGTTTGACAGTTTGGTAAAAGTGCTAAGTCATCATCATTATCATTACAACCATTGTCATTATCATTTCATTATCATTTTTATCATTATAAAAATAAATTATTACTATAATTATAAAAATTATTTGTATAATAATAATAATAATAATTATTATTATTATTATTATTATTATTATTATTATTATTATCATCAATAATGATGCATAATATTCTTACCTTCATTTTCCTTATCTTCTTGTGTTCTATGTTCTCTGATTGACATGTCCCTAATGCAATCTTCTGGTCTGACTGAAATTGCAGTGCCTTCCTTTTCATCGTTTTCTTCCGCTCTTAGAAAGGGATTATAATCACGCAAAGGGAAGTGTTCTTGGACTCTAGAATCATCAAAATCTCTTACAGCTATTTTCGTCTTGGAGTCTAGTTCAAACCCGTGGTCGCGTTTGTCCTTTTCGGAATAATAAAGCTTTTCCAGCGCTTTTAGACTTTTCTTGTGTTCATTCTTCAACGCTAATAGATGTTCATAGAAGTTCTCCTCGTCAACACCGTCAAGCTCACGAAGAGAATGCGACAAAGACTCTCTGACCGACACCTTGGTTTTGTGGCCTTGGTGATGCTTTTTGTGTCTACGAGAAGATGGCAGTTTTCTTTCACTAAAATCGGATAATCCATCATTCTCAAGTGGTTCTGCTTCTAAGGAACTTCTTGCTCTTTCGTTTTCAGTTGCTGGTTTATTTGTTCTGGGATGTCTGGGCGCTGTATAACACAGATTTTTTATAACGGCCGTTCCATGGTTCGACGCCATATTGAATACTGAGTTCGTAACAACCGCGGGCTTTATGTTTTGTCTTGACAACGAAGACAAATTTCATACGCAGTATGGTACGGTAGTCAAAAGCTATCAAATTAAATTATATTCGATAATTTGTCAGAAATGGATCGTCAGATTTTACAAAATAATAGTTATACCACTATTAAGGCTATATTATTTATTAGTTTATTGAGTTTATGAAAAATTCCATACCTGCTTGTACAATACAAAAACTCTGCCACATCCCTCTCCACTGAGTATAGGATATGCGATTCAGCCTCGTTTCTTTGTTGTTGTTCCCAGTTCCTTCTCGTTGTAGCTCGGTCTGAAAAATTCAAGATGTCTGAAGCAGCGTTGTATATATTTGGCCTGATCGATGGAGCTGCGTTACTATTTTTAACCGTTTATTTTGTATCCTTCAACTGATCTTACATAATAATAGATACATTATTTTGGACGTCACTCTCTCTGAAGAGTTAGTTTGTACAACTATATTTGTTAGTTGTCATATGCATGCCATTTGTAGCGATATCTCATTCTGTTGAGTTAAGATTCCCGGCTTATTTCAGTGCCATCAGCATTAATTCAGTACTGCTACAAAGGCATAACCTTGAACATGACTTAATTATCCTCATAAATGTATCATTTAATAATTCGCTTATTACCGTTTAGTTTGCACTTAAGCTTGAATCGTAATTCTATGTTTTACATTGTCGAGATTTTTTTGTTAACTTGAGTTTTTGCATAATCAAGATCATTAACTTATCGGATCTGGAATGCGACTACATCAATGCCACTACATGTTGCAGGAGACTTAACATGGTAAGTGTCAGATAAAGAGAGAGATAAAGAAACCTAAAAACTTGTTCCAAATTCAAACAGAGATGACTTGAAAACACGAAACGTCTCTAACCACACCCGGTAGTTAGATAACGGCGTAACACCCCAATAATTTAAAATAAGGATACAAAATTAAGGCTTTAGATGGTTATGACGATACCTTAATACATCTAAAACGGTTGCTACAAATCAATTGTTACCACTACAACTAATAAGTTAAGTTACATGTTCCCATCGTTTTGTTAATATGAGAAATCTATAAATTATTTACCAACAAAAATCAAAATTCACATGCATATTTTTCTAATTTTGTTTTTTCAGTGGATTCTTCCAGAAATAGTTGCACATGGAGTCATAACAGTATTGTTACTTGTACATTTTCAGTGGATATTTTTCTTGTTCAATGCTCCTCTATTAGGTTGGCTTGTGTACAGGTGGGTTTTTCTGAGCACCAAGAAAAGAGTTCACCCCTCTTATTTTTACAGGGTGTAGAATTTTCTCTATTTAGCAATTTAAGAAGGACTTCAAGCCTGTAAAAATGTTTGAAAAGTTGATATTTGGTGGGAATATTCTTGATGTGACTTCCAGGAGAAGGATATATGCTGCGATATTTTGTAGTAGACAGGTTAGCAAGAAGTGCTTATTTTGTTCCCTAGAAGGTCAGGGCTTATAGGTCTCAACCCCTCCCCCCTTGAATTTACCTAGAAATTTCAGCTCTAAGGAAGAAAGTTAGAGGCAAAGAGTATCGTAAGTAATGGCAACATGCAAATGAAATCATGAGGGAAAATTCTAAGATTGCCAAGATTGTAATGTTATGTTGCCTGCATGAACAAACCTGGATTTTATAAAGTTTGCCTTGTAAACTTGCAAACTAATGTCTTGTCTCTCACTTCAGATTTGTTAACAAGCCAACTGGTAATGTTGGTGTATATGACCCAGCAGAGATCCACAACAGGCATGAACTTAAAGGATTTATTAAAGAAGCTATGATCAAACTTGGATTTCATCTCTTATTCTTTTTTTTATATCTTTATAGGTAAGTTTCAGTTTTTTTCCATAACGATAATTTTTTTCCCAAAACATTAACATGAATATAAACCAGTAGTTTCAAATTGTTTCAAAGTAGGCATCAGACTCTGAAATTGAAGGTGATTGTGAAATGTTCATTAACTCGTTAACTCCCAGAAGTGATTGACATGTAACTTCTCCCTATGGTTTCCATACATTATCCAGCAAAAAGGTAATGAGAATACTCAAACTTATCAGGTACAACATATTGTCTCGATTGAACAACAAATTCTTGTAACCAATTTACAAGGAAATGTGTAGCAGCTAGAGAGGAGAATTAACAATCAGATCTTGGGAGTTAAAGGGTTAAAGGCCAAAAGGTAATTATTTTGACCAGAGTAACCAACAACATGTTTTGAAATCCCTCATTATTTCAACTTACAGCCTTTATTTGAAAACATATCTTATCTCGAAGATTCTCTGTAAGTTGAGTTGTTTGTAAAAGTGTTTTCTTCTTGAAAAAGACAGTTAGCTTCTAATGCTCTCTAAGGAAATATATCTGGGTGTTAAAGATGTGGGTAAAGCTAGGCTATGAGTTGGATTTTATTTTCTTTTTCTCCTCAAATCAATAAAATCCTGCTTATCTTGACTTCTTCCTCGTTTGTGTTTTTCGGTCCCAGAAAGATAGTTGAATACACCATTTTCATCATCACTGTACTTTAAGGGTTTGGATTTGTTTGGCAAATGAACTTGTTGGTTTGAATCCCTTGGCAGTAAAACTCTATTGGATGCATTGTACTGAATGAAATATTTTAATTTTCTTTTCTGTTTATAGCATGATATCTGCTCTGTTGAATGAAGATACGAAAAAGGAGACAAGTTGAATTATGGTAGTTATTTTTGGTACTTACCATCCAAAATTTTTGCAAGTTTCAGCCTCCAGATAAAATGAACTTGGTGAATTTGTAAAAACAAAGTTTAGCAAAAGTAGTGGTTTGCTTTATTTTTTTAAAATTAAATATTAATTTGTAGTGTTGTAACTGTTAAACTGCTGTTGCAACTGCTAACTTCTATTCTATATCTTGACATTTTGTGGTGTTTAATTTTCAACATTGTGGTTAACAAAATGATTTTTTCTGAAGTCCCAAGGTACAAAATTTACGTTTTCCATTTTGATACCAAATAATTTCTAAAGAATTACCTCTGTTGCCAAATGTTAAGTATTGTTTGAAAAGAGGAAATGGCTCAGGAGGGTGTATGTTATGGGACAGAAAATGGACACTTTTTTTGTTAGGAAATCAGGTTGCTTTTAAATACAAAAAATATTATCTTCAGAATTACACATAATTATTTGTCATTTTTGTACTAACTTGAAGTTTTTCATAGTGAATTGTTGTTTTTGTTAGAACATTCTTTGCAATTCAATTGCAATTAAAGGTATTTTATCTCTTAAATATACAAGTTTTGCCTTGTGGGATTTGTTTGATGTGTTACTTTGGGTAGCATGGATAATACCAAACATGGTTTGAACAAAATTTTTTCTATTAAAGGGTCAGAGAAGCTGGTCTCCCATTCATGTACTTGTTACTTGGTGGAAAAAATTTCCTCTCCCATGAATTTCAAAGACTATGCATTTACTTGAAACAATTTTTATTCCCAGATGCCACAATTGTTTTATTTTACACACTGATCCAGATTTCTTTTACAATTTTTTAAAATAGTGCAAATTAAATAAACAGTCTCCCAACTTGTTTCATAGCAACAAAGTTTCTCTATACTCAGGCAATACTAAAACATTCATCACCAACAATTACTGAAAAAGATACTGTTACAAATTGCATTTTTTTCTTCTTCATTTGATTAAATTCTGTTTTTCATGTTGTGGAACCTAAGCATGCAATTCTTATTAACTTTCATTTTATTTAAATTAAATGTTCATTAAATGGTGAGCTTCATGAAATTTAAAAAATTAATCACAAAAACTATCAAACATCCATCTTATCAGTAGTTTTTTTTTTTTTTCAATTTCTGTTACAGACTTCTTTCCTGGCCAGTTCTAAAGCACCGATAATTCCAGTTGAATCACCAAAAATGCTTCCCCTAATGTAACTTGCCAATCCATCTTCAGTCTTGAATTTCTCTACCTCAAGATATCCTTTCATTAAATCCTTAAACCATCTTCTTGCTTTGCTAAAAAGTACTCTGCGCTTCAGGATTCCTCCCCCCAAGACAATCACATGAGGAGAGAGCAGATATGTGACATTTAGGCACAGAACTCCGAGGTAGTAGCCAGCCTTCTCCCACACCTCATGATCATCTGTTAGGGTATGGAGTTCCCTTTGGCTCACCTTAGCTCGAGCTGCAATTGCTTTAGAGTGCACCATGCCCTCTACACAATACCCATGGTTGAAACCACACCCCCCAGGGTAGCTGTCCCCATCGAGGGGTGGTACCATAGTATGTCCTCCCTCGAGATGAAGAAGCCCGTGTAAGGGTTTCCCACACACCGCAGCTCCTACGCCGACACCAGTTCCTACAGTGATGTAAACCACCGTGGGAGGATCCGCGGGATCGTGTTCAATTTTCGCGAGTTCAGCCATTGCTGGTGCGTTGACATCTGTATCGAACCCAATTGGAGTGGAGTCGCCGAATTCACGTTTAAAAAAGCCGACTATATCGGTATTTCTCCAAGGTTCTTTTGGAGTTGTGGTGATAAAGCCGTAGGTTGGAGAACTCCTGCACAGATCTACTGGCCCAAAGGAAGCGATTCCGATAGCTTCATACGAAGCGATGCCCAGACTCGTGCGCTTCTCCTGAAGGAATTTCGTCAAACTTGAGAGCGTCTCCTGTGGCCTAGCTTCCGTGTCAGTTTCAAAATTCGCAATAATCTTTGTTGGTTGGCGTAACTCTGCAATTGCGGCAATACATGTCGTGCCTCCAAGCTCCACTCCGGCAATATAGGCCATTTTTATCGATTCTTGTTTAAAAAAAAATGACAAAACACATCACAAGAAAAAATATACTTTTCTCAGCTGAGTCCGGCGCGTGAACTGTCAGCGGAATCCATTCTGTACGCGTGCTGGGTTTGACCTCCCGCCTTGCGGATGTAGATCAAGGACTTTCTGTAAAGGTCATTTGCGTGACAATTCAAATAACCTTTTCATTTAAAAAAGAATTTGCATGAAGAATAGACAGACGGTTTCGCTTTCCTTTCATTGTTGAAGAAGATGGCGGAATCCACAGCACCGTACGGCTCCTGGCAAAGCAAGATATCAAGCACTACTGTCGTTTCAGAGTCAAGATCAATAATGGAAGTTAGGATAGACCCTTTCCAAGAAGGTAAGCGTACTTTTGAATAAGTGTCTGCAGTGCTAGCGACAGAGACTGCAAAATTCCTCTGAAAGTACGAGCGTGAGTCGAGCGAAAGCACATGGCAGTAGCTTATGTCAGCCGAAGCATTAGCAATCTTTTATTTAGGGTTTTTTTCTTAAGCGTTGCAGGTTCATGTTTAGGTTATGAGCTGATCAAGGTCGGCAAACTTGCATAGGAAGAAGTTGAACGATAAGTTTTTTCCGAGAAGCGTCACGGAAACGGTAAAGAAGAAAAAGCTCACGAGCCAGGCAAGCGACTCTTTAGTGTGCGCCTTTTGCATGCATGAGCGACAAGGTTAAAAAGACTGAAAAAAATTATTTCCTTCCGATTAATTTTTTTTTAACTTAACCGGAAAAAAGCTTAAAAAAGGTTTTAACCGTTGAGTTAAACGCTAGTCCCGTAATTTGTAGACATGTATAGCTTACAGAGAGGGACGCTGAATCTGATCAAGGAATAATTAAACCAGATGGTTCTGTCTTGCAAGTTGCCTTAGGCGGGATGGCTGACAGACCTAAAACTCTTAATGAACCATGCCTCATTTTTTTTTAATTCATGAAAATTTTGACACTTGAAGTAAATACGTATTGTTTGGAACAGCTTGACCACTCTTCCTACCGCACAAAGCCAGGAATCTGGAAGTTTTAGTTTGATTCCACTTAAAGGCTTTGATTTAGTTTCAGCTGCTACAGCCAAGGCATACCTCCTTCAAGTATATGCATATTAAGAGACTTAACGTTTTTTCAGACAACTTGTACATGTGCGCCGTTAATTTTAATTATCCTGTGTTTTTGCACTTGCAAGTATACTAAACTAAAGACAGATAAGTGCAAGGCTTGCCAGACACAGTCTACTTCTATTTCAAAGAACTAAGTGTAATTAGTCTGACATTGCATTCACTTCCATTGTGAATAATGTTGCTGTAACTGCTTACTACATGTTTTCTTTGCCTGAGGAAGATTTACAATATGCATTAAGACATTGCGATCCACATGAAAAGTGACTACATAATAAGATAGAAAATTGCATTCTTTTGATATTGAATTTCTTTGCAATGAACAACCACAATTCTTTTCATGATACTTCTAGTTTTTTCTTAAGTCCAAGGGTAAACCTTTTGCCTCAGAATTGAGGTTGTTAGGTTACTTAATATCTCTAAGTTGCAACTGAGAAATGCCACTTTCATTAAAATTATTTGATTCAATGTTTTCAGACTTTCATCGTTATGTATTTAAGCTTAAAATTGCAATAATATGAATTAATAATGAACTTTGTAACAAATTGTGCATCAAAAATGTGCAAGTTAGGATGCTACAAGGATTTCTAAATATGTTTCCTTGCTCTTCTGTTTTCTAGTTTGGTAGAAGACCTTTGCTAAATGTTACTTAATTGTCTTTTCTCTTTAAGGTGCCATGATAGTCTTCACTAAACAATCATCCATAATTAGCATCTTACCTTATGTAAATGTGGCATTGACATTGAGATAAAATGCTTGAAGCCTGTTGGCTAGTTCATTAAGAGCTCTTGACACACAAAATCCATTATTGTCTCATCTGAATTTACAAGGTGGATATCAGTTTTCACTTTGACCTTTACTCCTGCCTATAAAGAAGCTTGGTGGCAAAAAATGTTTAAGTTTGGCTGGGATTATCCATGCCAATCAGTCCTTTAACATTTGTCACATTCTATTTGTCTTTCTTGATAAAATTATTCAAAGATTTCTCTCAAATTAAGGAAAATTTTTATTTAGGCCTCTTGAAAAACTCAACATATCTGGGTGTATCTCCGTTTGACTAATCCTCAATCGAGTGCTTAAAATTAATGATCCAACATTTTACTTGCAATTCTTTACAATACCAAACTGAAATTAACATTGTGAGAATTCTATGGCAGATGGTAAGAGCAATCATGGGGTAGACTACTGAGATCATGGGAGTGAAGGGTTAATGATCAGTTAGTGGTTTTTATGAGTCACTGGGAGTGCTGTGTTTGGCTGTTTTGATTACTTTGGCTTCATTTTTACCACACTCAATGGAAATTGTTTTTAATTCACTAATGAAAGCAAGTAATTTAGTATGTTTATAAATAAGTGAACAAACTCATAGGTTCTTTGTTTTGCCACCTACTCTTGTAGATAAAGTCTTCTGGTCAGAGATGCGGCCAGAGGAAGAGGGAAGATATGTCATCTGTTGTTGGAGTGGGGGACTAGAATCCATTACCCCAGATGGTTTCAGCAGTCGAACACTTGTCCATGAATACGGAGGGGGTGCTTTCTTTGTTCACAAGTACCGGATCTATTTTTCCAATTATGAAGATCAAAGGATGTACTGCCAGAAAATAAAGAAATCTGGGACTGAACCAGTTCCTATCACTCCAAAGCATAAAGCCTGGAGATATGCTGATGGTGCCATGTACAAAAAAAACATCGTTGTTTGTGTACGTGAAGATCATGAGGTGCTTTCTGAAGGTGCAGAAGAAGCACAAAACACAGTTGTATCTATCAACCGGAAGAAAAAAGAGCAGGTTGTGTTGGTGAGTTACTATGGTAGTCATAACCTGTTTGCTATTTTGTGTAAGTCTGCTATGGGGAGAATTTAAATGTCAATCACTTCTGAGAATTCAAGGGTGAAGGACAGGTACGATCACCAGTTCAAGTTTTTTTATTGAATTTTTTGAGGAAATACTTGGAAAATGTATAACTCAAGAAGCGTCATTGTATTATTTAGGTATAATAAAGTTTGCACAGTTATTGTTACTGGACAATTAACTGAGCCCTTTCTAAAATGAAAAATGTATATTACTGCTAACTTGCTAGCACTACAGTACAACAGTTTGGCAAAAAAATTTATTTTTTATGAAGGGTAGCTTGTGATTTTTCCCTCTGAAAATGCATACAGGTCTGGGTAAGCCCACAGATTTACTTAGTCAATTGGAAACCCTTGGACTCATACTTTTACTTGTCTTAGAATCCATAGGTCTCTAATATTCATTTGACAAATATCTACTTTGCAAAGTCAGGTTTGACAAACATGTGTTTAGTGATTTTAATAGATGTTTTTTATGTGTTTTTATCCCCAGGTTTCAGGAGCAAATTTTTATTCAACTCCAAGAGTATCCAAGAATGGCACAATGGCTTGGGTACAGTGGAATCACCCAAATATGGTAAGATTAATTAGAGAAGAAATGCACAAGACTTTCAGTGCATCCAGTGTTACACATTGACCCAGTAATTTGGTCTGAGCCATATTAGGAAGACAAAATTTATGACCTCATTCTGTCAGGCCAGTGGAGACCAACAGGTTTTCAAGAACCACAGAGAATAGGGAGCAAGAGTGTTAGGATTGACAGGAGAGTAAAAAGCACTGAAGAGGAAGAGAGGGTGGTTTGCTTGAGGGAAATGCAAAAATGTCAAAATCTGTCATTTGATAATCTTCAGTATTTTCTAAACAAGGGAGTTAGGAATAACAAATTTAGGAAGTAGGAGATTGGGAAAGATTTTCTAAACTAAGTGAGATTTTTTTTTTATTTAAAGCCATGGGATGACACTGAGCTTTGGCTGGCAGAAATATCATCGGATGGAGATTCACTAAAGGAAGACACCAAACGAAAGGTAGGCACACTGTTGAAAATTTCAAAGTTGTTACTCAAATCCTAGGGCCACTTATTTACACAAGGTCTGACCCAACCATGGGTTTACCCAATCAGTGGGCCTAAGGCCTTCTCCATATGACCGTTGATTTAGTTAAATAAATGTCCCTACACTGTTAGGTTTGGGCCCTCTTGACGCTGTTCAAAAAAATATTAATGGCTTCGATGAAAGGGTCAACTAAATGGGGGATTGTTTAGGATGCAGTTTTGAAATCTAGAGATGAAACACAATGATGTAATTGAAGGTCTTCAACTTGTTAGCTTCTTTTTTTCTCTTTTTATAATACTGATTGTCCTTATCTCTTTGTTGTCTGTATATTTAGGTAGCAGGGGGAGTTGGTATCAGCGTCATGCTTCCCAAGTGGTCCCCAGATGACAAGCTCCTTTACATCCATGACAAAACGAACTGGTGGAATCTTTATCAGTTAGATGATGATGACAAGGAGACCAGTTTGTGTCCAAGGAAGGAAGAGATTGGTCAGCCAGCGTGGGAGTTTGGAGGGAGTCCGTATTCCTGCAATCCCACTGGCAATGGTGATATTCTCATGATTCATGGCTCGGTATGACTCTTTTAATCACAGATAACAATTATTTTTTTCAAATGGCTGTTCCTTCAAAATGACTAACAAATTGTCTGAAGAGGCAAAGTTGTTTGATATACCAAGTTGAATCCTTTAGGTGTTGGGAGATATGTTAATTGGTTTCCCATTTGGCTGTTGACTGCATTTGGCTACTCTTCATTTACTTTTGCTCTCATGAAAAGCTAATAATCAAAACATAAGGGATAGAAACTCTATGGTGGCCAATTTCTGTTATCAACTCAAGTGATAAAACCAAATCATCTTGTTACATGAGTCAAGTAAACTAAGGCCTGCTCAGCACTGCGCCCAAGCCATTGTGCCATTCTTAGATACTCTTGGAGTTCAATAAAAATTTGCTCCTGAAACTTGCAAATAAAAACAATTAAAAAAATATCAATCATAATCACAAAACACGTGCTTGTCAACCTGACTTTGCAAAGTAGATAATTGTCAAATGAATATTAGAGACCTATGGATTCGAAGACAAGTATAAGTACCAAATTCTCAGAACTAGCATCCTAAGAATTGTATGGCAGACAGTAAGGGGAATTGATAATGAGATCTTGGGCAATAAAGGTTTAAATGAAAGTGCAAAAAGTCAGGCACTCTACATAGAATACGTTTTTTTGCCTTTTCCAAATACTCCTGATAGAATTCAAAATAGAGACAATCAAAAAGTAGTAACAATGTCTTGCATGAAAGTATTAATAATGAAATGTCTGGAACAACAACTCAAAGCTGTTCTTCTGGAAATGATTATTCATATTTTGCCTTACATTGTTTTATATGTGTGTGCAGGAGCTGGCATGCCTCAAACCCTCTGGTGAAAAGCAGGATATTAAAATTAAAGAGGATGATTACAAAGCTTTTGCCAAGCTGGAATACTCTCCAGATGGAAAGTACGCATACATGGTGGCAGGTGGACCACAGACGTTTGCAAAGCTTATAAAATTGGACCTGAAGTCTGGAAAATCATCAGTTATCCGTGAATCTCACGGTGCTCTGGATATTGATGGGTACATTAGTGTTCCTCAAGAAGTGAGCTGGGATACACGTGATGGTGCAAAGGCCTATGGATATTACTACCCCCCTCAGGTAGGTCTGTGCTTCTAAGGGGAACCTGGAATGTTTAGGGTGATGTTATGTACAGATCAAGTTTGTCGTTAGTTTTTCAGATCTTTACTTTCATGATCTTTGTTAGGTTCTTAGCTGTTTTTCCTTTGACAATTTCCAATATGACTTTTACCCCATTCACACCAGCAAAACATGTTTTGTTAAACTGGTTTTCATTGAATGAAAATTATAAACAGAGAACTGAAAAACTTGATTTTCCATTGGATTCAAGTACTTGCTAACTTGCATTTCCAATGTGCTACATTCAAGTCAAAAATATTTGGTTAAATAGTTTCTATGAAGAAAAAAAAAATTAAACTGTGTTTAACAAAACAACTTTTAAACATGTTTAAGCTTTGGTGTGAATGGGGCATTAGTTACAAGTTGAGGGTTTGAAACAATGAATGATTTTTCTTACTGTCTTTATTGCAAAGTGCTAATCCCGATCATCTTACAAAAAACAACATCCCATGCCTCACACCTAAGTATGCAAAGCACATAACACCACTCTGCTGAAGCAAACCAATTCAAGCACCTTTCTTTTAGATTGACCCTTTATACCTTAACTTTTATCAGTATTCATAATTATTCTCCATACTGGTCTCTAAACATTTCCTAAGGTGCTGACAAGGCGATTTTTTTTACAAATTAGAGCTTCTTTAGTTGGTTATCATTGCCTTTATTCTCTCCACCTTAATGTTTGATTCAGGGGTGATGTTGTTTGGAGAATTTAAATGCCAGTCACTCTTAGGGTTAAATGTGGTAAACTCATCAGTTGCATTCCTTACATGAGAGGCATGGCCTCATTTGCAACAAGTTAAGCCAGTAATGCAAATGCTACTGAACACTTCCTAACAAACAATAGGATGATCACTATGTACAGATCAGGTATTTTTCATGCATTGTGTTATAAAACTTTTCAGAACAAGGATTATCAAGGGCCAGATGATGAGACACCTCCACTGCTTGTCAAGGTTCATGGGGGACCCACCAGTGCTTGTTCACCAGTGCTTGATCTCAACAAACAATTTGTTACATCCCGAGGCTTTGCAGTGTTGGATGTCAACTACCGTGGCAGTACAGGATTTGGCAGAAAATTCAGGGATGCTCTTAAGACAAAGTGAGTGCACAAACCAGAGTTATCATTAACCCTTGTACTCTGAAGATCTCATTAGTAATTCTCCCAATTGTCTGCCATAAAATACTTATGATTTCAATTTGGAGAAGTTATAATTAGATCAACTTGAGTTTCTTCTTTATTTTCCTCACTTGTCTACTTGATTCTGTGTTGATATTGTAAGGAGAAATTCTGTCCTGGTCTCTCATGGGAGTTTAAGGGTTAAAAGCTGGTACTGCTGGCCAAAAGAAGCTGGTTTCATTCATCTCATTTTCCTATAAGTAGTGATGAAAAATCATATAATTATTGAAATACCTTTGAAACAATTTGTACAGCAGTCAGTTCTCCATTTTGAGAGGAATTGAATGCATGATTGACAGGTTTAGATGTTTGATTCCATTCCGTCTTGAATTGGCTTAAAAGGTTGTATGAACTTTGCCAAACACGTGGGATGATCTTTGGCAAAATTTTTCAATGATGCTTGGAAAATTAATGGCAGCAGGAATGACCCAGCACACTAGGTGGGGTGTGCAATAATAGAGCTCACATGATAAATCCCCAATTAACATTTTACTAATCAACAAATTAAACATTTTTCTTAAATGGGTTAATTAATCTGCTAGACACTGACTCACCAATACCATTATATCTTTTTGTTAACCCTAAGTGCACACAATCAAAGAACAGTCCAAGTTAACCTTTATGTGAATAACCAAGTGTAAAACATCAGTAGGAAATCTGTCATACTTCCTAAGTTAAGCAGAACAGCACCAAAGGCTTATGACTTCTTCAGATTTTGTGGATCCACACCAATTACAGACTGAGTTGTGTGTCAGTTCAGATTGCTAAATTCCCTGGTTACAAAACAGTCAAGTTTAAAACAGCTTTCAAGAACAACAGATGTATATTGGTAAACACTAATGCATAATCCTGAAGTAAATTAACACTTTTGAAGTAAGAAATTCACTTTTTTCAAATATAAGTCACAAAAATACATTTGGGTATTCAGAAACAATTTTAAAAGTAATTCATATGGATTCCATCACAGCTGGGGACTGATAGATGTTCAAGACTGCTGTGATGGTGCACTGTATCTGGCTAAAGAAGGCAAAGTTGATGGCAAAAGGCTTACAATTGATGGTGGCTCAGCAGGGGGCTTTGTTGCATTATCTGCCTTAACATTTCATAAAGATTTCAGTGCAGGAACAAGCAATTATGGAGTATCTGACATCTCAGCCCTTGCAGAAAATACGCACAAGTTTGAAAGTCACTACACTGAAACACTTGTTGGCCCATATCCTGAAGATAAGGCAACATATGAGGAGAGGTCACCAGTATATCATGCTAGTGAGTGCAAGGCTGCTCTGGCAATGTTTCAAGGCTCTGAAGACAAGGTGAGCTTTTTATGAGTATTTCTTCACAATCAGACTTTCTTGAGCTGGTGACAACTGTGAACTAGCTACTAGCAATTTCCTACATTACGTAAAAAAACTGCCAGCTGGTGCCCTTTCAGGAAAAAGGCTGTGATCACTAGAAATTAGATATAAGGCACCTGATTTACTAGGAAAGGACAAAAAAATTCTCTTGTACCAGTTTAGGGTCACTTATATGAAATCATTGTAAGTGGAAGTAATTTCAGTGTTAAAAAGTTTTTCATCAACTCTGATAGATTATGAAAATATTTTTCCTGTAAAATAAAGATTTAACCAATCCTAAAAGTAGAGCTCCAATCAGTTCAGATTCTACTAACCTTCATTATGTGAGTTTATCAGTAAATAGAGGAATTAATTAAGAAGATTGGATACTAATCCATTGTAAGGTCACTCTTAGCATTTCATCAGGCTTCCCTGACAGTTTACCAGCACTCATTTACACTCCTGTGTGAAAAGAGGCATTGTGAGAGTAAAATGATTGTCCAAGAACACAACACACAATGTTGAAAGTCAAGTGGGGCTCACACTAAAACCTTCAAATCTGCAGTCCATAGTGCTAGCTGTCACTCTGACTAGCAGGTGTTATCCTAAAATTTCTATGAGATTGTGAGATATGAGAAAGGTTTAGTTCTTTCATTTGTTTATTGTTCTTTAGATCGTCCCACCTGAACAGTCAGAAAAGATGTATGATGCAGTCAAGCATAATGGAGTCCCTGTGGCATACAAAGTTTTTGAAGGTAGTGTGTTTAATGTCACTGTTGACTGAAAAGTGTTTACAGAGTTAACCATGCATGCACTGAGTTTGAGTGAGCTATTTGGTGCTGTGCCTGTTCTTTTCAAAGAGAAACAGATTCAGCTTGCTGCTCCTGAAATCAATTTGTTTAAGAGTGCTCATAGGGAGTTTGAAAAATTATAGAACAAGACACAAGATTATGCCCTTTATAACACAGAAACTACCAAGATTAAACTCTCTGACATGAAACTCTCATTTCAATTCTCACTTTTCTAACCATAACAGTGGAAAGAAGTTTACTTGCCTAGATTAATTGTTGATGGAAGAGATTAATAATTAACACTAACTGACTCATGCAAGTTAGATGAGTATGACATTCCCCTCCCCCCCTCTCCCTCCTGCCATGAGTGGACTGAACGAGACAAATTCCTCTGCACTGAGGGGAAGAAAAAACAATAATTATTTTCCAACCTTATTGTTAATGCAACCTTAATCATTGATGAAATCTTTTATTCTTTTTCCAAGGTGAACAACATGGTTTTCGCAAAGCAGAAAACATTAAATTCTCTATTGATGGAGAATTCTACTTCTACTCCAAAGTTTTCAAGTTTGATGCACCTGGCATTCAAGTGGATGTGAGTAGCTTTAACATTTTACATCACATGAATGATTATTTATGGTGATGTTTTGCATTAGTAAGGAGAGGATAAATTGGCTGTTACTTATTGTAAGCACCATTGGCCAGTTACATTCCATCTTAATTTTATTTCATAAATTTGTTGTATCTGCAGCTCGAGATTGAAAACTTACCTGAAGAAGAAAGTTAAGATTGTGATGTGAAGGTGTGCTCAGAAAGAAGGATTTATCTGGATAACACTGATTTTGATGATATGAGGGGTAGAATAAAAGGTTTAGATGCCAATCTGAAAGCAGCAGTGGTATTTTTGGGTTTTCTTTTCTGCATTTGTTTGTAACTTTTTCAAATGCAAGATTTGTTAGAGGTCAAACTTTTGAATTCTATTTGGAACTTTCTTATTAAATTCTAGCTTTTCTACTATTGATAATGTAGATGACTTTATTAGTCCAAAAAGTGTGTTACGTAAAACGCATTTAACAGTTGCATTATGTGCTATTAACAACATAAGTTTTCAAAAACTATTGACATGTTTTGTACAGTTACTGAAGGTTGCAATAAAATTTAAAAATAAAGGTAGTGAGTGACCTTTATTGTTTTGCACAACCGCATCAGAAGTTGAGGATACATAGTTGTGGAATTCATATAGTAAATCCTTGAAAGAACACTACAGAGCACTTCTATTTCAACTTTGGCTAAAGAAAAAGAGGAGCTTTTTGAAAAGTTTGGCTATGAGGAGGAGGCACTCTGAAATCTAAGTGTTATTTTTACAAGCAGTGTCTTCCATTTTAATTGATTTAGTGATGATTGCAGTTATTCAAAGTCTCCTAAGAATTGATCTGAAACTTTACAATGTCCTAGCTACCACTGGATTCAAGTTAAATTTAATGAAATCTTTAGACATTGAAAATAATCACAGTTTTATTTCTATCAGCTGAAACAATATAAACTCTGCACTCTCTCATTCTTGACAACATGAACTAGTAAAGGGAAAAATGATGTTAACCAAACCCCATCTGCTAAATATTTTTTCTTTTCATTAAAAATAAGTAAATTCTATTTTATACACATTTAAATAACACTTTCCTCTTTAAAAAAATCATCTCAGTCTGTAATCTCCATGTTTTCTTGAAAGGTCTTTTGATAGTTGTGATGATTGTTGATGTAGAATAATTTTCTTAATTGTCAATTCTTGTAAGTTCTAAAAAACATTTTAGGAATGGCTGACTGGTTTGAAATAAGTCAAAATGCTCTTTCCTGGCTTGGAATTATCTTCTCTCTGACAAGATAACCAAAAGACAAGAGGTGATCAATTGTTTTTCCTCACAAGAGTAATCAAAGTAGCTCACTTAATAGAGATAAATTTTATCCTCTAAAAGTAAAGACTCAAAACACATCATCAGTCAAGGAGAAATATATTTACCCTAGGCTCAAGTGAGACCCATTAGATTGAGAGATAGGCACACCACCATGTCACATACTCCCTCTATAAATCATAAATTAAATTATGAATAAATGTTTATCTTTTGCTTAACCCTTAATAGCCCAGCATCATTATGTTCATTCTCTATACTGTTATCTGAACATTTCCCATGATACTGACAAGAGAATTCATACATAAATCCAGAGCTTTTTTGGTTGGTGATCATTTCCTTTATTCCCATTACCTCAATGTTTAATTCAGTTGAGCTGCTTTAAGGGGTTAAAAAGTTGAGAACATTTCGAAGGGAGACATAGTTAACATCTTACCTGTGGTTGTAAACCATAGGCTTGTGATTCTTCATCAGAAACTGTGGTTATGATTGAATCTGTGTTTTCAACAAAGTTTTTGCCTCCCTTCTCAGGCAGTGGAATACTCTTCTCACCAGGCTCTTCTCGACTATGATTGCTCCACTGTGTTAGCCAGTTTGCAGAATGAGCTTTTGCAGTAACCTTTTGTTCAGAAGTTGCTTCTGATTTTTGGTGACAATTAAAATCAAGTTCCAGTTTGGCAAATTTAGCCTCACCAGGAGAACTGTTGTTAATTAGTTTGTTTTCCTTATCAGGGTTTAAACTTGATTTATTCCAATTTCTAATTCCCACATGGCCTGCATTTAAATTTAAGGGATCACTGATGCATAATCTTTTCCTGAGAGGCAACACTGAAACATTCTTTTGTCCATTGAAATGAGTATTTTCAGTTTTATCCTCAGTCCTGTATTCTTGTCTTTTATTTTTGGCAGTTTGGTTTGGTTGTTTGACATCTTGTAAAGAATTAACAGCTTTCTGTGTCATGTCAGAGCATTTCTGAGCTGTAACAGACTGGATCTGGTGATTTAATTGGTCATCACTGTCACTGTGACATCGCTTTCTTGAATTTGATTTTAACCAGGATGTCAGCAATTGAGTTGGGCTGTGAAACTTTGAGGCAGCAGGTGACTTAGGGCTGGAGCAGGGTGATGACTGGGATCCAGAAGAGGATGGAAAGGAGACAGAGGAAGGCACTATCTGAGAATCTGAGTTCTTATTAGGAACCACGTGAGGTGATGGACCTGAGGAAAAAATACAATCAATTTTCATTGTTTTGGGATATAACTGAATTTTCAATGATGTGTGAAAGACATTTCAAAAAGTTTGGCTAATAATGTCAGTTTCTTCTTTTGCATAAGTTTCCTTCTTGTCCTCCTTGGTCCATATACAGTTTTATTCTTGTTCCTTTGGTTTCTCTCTCCCTTGAAAAACTGTTATTTCAACATTTTAATCCATTTTAAGACAAAACATATGAGTTGGAACTTTTCTAAAGTTAGTGTTATGATAATGATATCAAAGTTTCTCAACTTTTGGTGACCTATTTTAAGGACCTAAATATTGTAATATTGGTTTGTAAATGATGTGAAAATAATCATTCAGTGGTAGCATTTCTTGCTTTGTTTTGTCAGAAAAACAATTTTCATTTATTTTCCACGCCTTTCTATGACCCACACTCAAATTCCATAACCCTCTACAGCTGGAAAAGGACACCAAAATTTCCATGACCATCCAAGTTTTCCATTATCTGTACAGACCCAGCTGTATATGATTCACTTCACATTAATGACTCAAAATGTTGTAAGCAATACTAGCAGCAACTTTTAATGCAAATGTTATAGAGAATACCTGTTGTCAGGTTTTGCAAACTTGTAGAAAGCTTTGGAGACAAAGATTGCATTTGAAGATTTTGTGTCTTTTGCGAGCTTATTTTATGGGAGCTCTGCAATTTGGGAGACACCTTTCCAACAGGACTGGAGATTTTATTTAATCTTGGATTGGTGATGACTTTTGATAGTGGGGTCCAGAGTAATCTCTTTGAATCAGGGCTGTTGTTGGGAGAAGAACTTGGTGTTCTATGAAATCTTGATGGACTTGAAGCTTCTGCAAGGTGCATAATCATCAAAGTGAGGAAAGAATTCAATAAAACTGTTTCAAGATTAGGCTACATTTTGCAATGAAGAAATGTAAAATGGTTTCCGTGTTTACATAGCCTGATGTAAACACACGGGAGGTTGGGAGAACATGAGATAAGTGTAGGAAACCACGATGCGAAGTTGAATGGTTTCCAGCTTATTGAGTGTTCTCCCAACCTCCCAAGTGTTTACATCAGGCTATGTAAACACGGAAACCATTTTACATTTTTTTTATAAAATAACTAATGAAAGAGGAACAAAAACCGTGTTTACATACGCTCATGTAAAATGGTTTTATTGGCAATCAGAGCGCGCATACTATTTGAATTATTTTATAATGGATGAGACCAAAGACATAGTGCGGTCACATACTCAACATTTAACATTTCAGTTTTGTTGTTTTTCCTTACCATTGATGGGAGAATGAGATCCTGTGCCAGTTCCTCTACAGCTCTCACCAACGACATCATGTTTATCACTGTTATTTGTTCTGCAATCCATTCTCCTTTTGATTCAGGGATCAAATGATCATGTAATGCAGTGAGACGAGTTTCAAAATATGAATTGAAAATAAACATTTCATTCCTCTTGCAGAAAAGTGTAATAGCTACTTTTTAGCTTTGGGGATAAGGCAATTTTTCTGTTGTTTGCTCTGTTTTTGTCTTGAGGGGAAACAAGAGAAAACCTTCTGGTTCTAAGAAATTTTAAATCAAAGTTCAAACTTAACAAGAGTGTATTGGAGTTGTACTGTGCTTTCCACTCTTAGCTTGTTGTGAGCATGAATTTCCAGATTGTCTGTGAACTTGACACTTACCATATTCTAAAGCTGTTATCATCTGAACAAGTTATAACCTGTGTAGGCAAAAAAAATAAAAAACACCAAAATTAGAGAGATGATGGGTTTACATTCCTCAACTATCTATGTAAAGGAGGCCTTAATTTCAGATAAACACTTATTTTGCAAAAATATCAACTACAGATTTCATGTCAAACTTATTTGCTTGAAAAATCCTTTATGTTAAATTTAATTTCTAACGTTACTGTTATGTTTTAAATAGATTATATTCTTATCCATTTTTTTTTATTGTCCAGCAACTACACACCTTTCCCTGATCAGATGGACACCATGCAACACTTGTCACCTCTCCAAGGTGTCCCTTTAGCAGGGTGGGTGGGGCAGTAGGGTCTGACACCCTCCATATGAAGGCATCGTTTTTACTTGATCCACTGAGTAAGTACATGTCATCAGGACTGAGAGCTGCTTTGACGTAAAAAGTGGAGTTCATGTGACCTGCGAAAGTACACACAGGCTCCTGACCTAATGCAGTGCAGCTGTACATGTAGATTTTGTCATCTGTACAGCTTGCAAATAAGGATGAGTGGTTGGAGTCCAAGACAAGCGATGAAAAACCTGGAATTATAACATTCTTTTAAAATAAAAGTGTTATAGATCAAATAACTAGAAAATAAAGAGTCATGTCAACAACAACCACAACAAATCTCCATCTGTTCTCAAAAAGAGTACTTGGTCTTACAGTGAAATAACAAGAAACATAGCCTGATCATTACTGAGTCTAGCTGAAGAAACCATGAGGTTTGCGAGCTAGCCCCTTCCCATTTAAAAAAAAAAAAAGCAACAGGAGACAAAAATCAGACTTAATAGACAATGTAGTATTACTACACAAGACAGATTCTAGAATTTCTATTTAAACTACTTTTGGTGTTGTTCTGACAGCAACAAAGAATTGAGTGGATGACTAAGGACAAAGGCCTTTTGCCCCAAAAGCAACAAATGTTTCACTTCTTTGGCAAAAGCGAAAGTATCTTGCAGAGATGACATTAATGCTAAACATGGCTCTATGGTTTTTGGTTACAAGCAACTTACCATGTTTTCTCCTGACTCCTTGCTCTGGGTAAGGAAAAGTGTGAAAAGGAAGTGGGTCTGCTTTGAGGTTGGTATAGGTTTTACGCAGGTCCCAGATCTTGATACTACCATCCATTGCTCCAGCTGATATGAGTTTCTCCCCTCCTTGGAATAGCACTGCTGTTACACTTTGCTGGCCGGAATTCTGTGAGCACATGATTTTAATTAAGAAATTTATAAGCAGGAAGGTAGTTTGAAATAATAGTGGAATATTCTACAGAATAGCTTCACACTTGAATTAAAAAAAAAATCAGGCCTTCAAACTTAGTTGCAGAATTATGGGTATAGGTAAGAATTCTCTGAGCTCTGATGTTTAATGTACACTTGATAATGAGACAACTGACAAACCATTTGTTTGTCCACACAACTACTTTGCACCATAGACCAACAAACACCACTGTTATATCAAGCCATCTTTACCATAACTGGTCGCGAAGAGGTTGACCTTCTGGATTTCTTTTTCATCGTTTGTGGTGTCCCAGGGAGTTTCTCTGCATGTGCATTGCTTATTATATTAACAGGTTGACTGAAGTGTCCTGAGCGACGATTACATCTCATGTCCCATACCATCACATTGCCGTCTCTTGCACCTGAGGCAAAGACAACTGAGGAAGGAAAAAATGACTTTGTTAATTCTATTTACAAGTTTACTAGTACTTTTGATAGCTATCTGTGAAGACCTGAGATGGTTTTACAGGCAAAATAGTGGGCTAGATTCTACTCTTTGGATTCTAACAAAAGCCAATCACTATCAACAGCAAAATTGCAAGACTAATTGCTCAAATCTTGGAGTCAGTCAGTTGTACAGTGTAATAATCCTGTATCAGTTACATTGCAAGAACCTGACTAGATGTCTTAACTTGCGTCAAACGATGCTGAATTGCTCAAATATCAGCATATTGCTGCCAGTATTCGCCTTATCATGCAGTAACCAGTAAAAATTTACACCTGTAGTACTTCTTACTGCCACCTAAAATTGCTTGGAATGTTGAAAGTTCAATGGGTGGTAGGTTTGCTCAACCAATTTGAAAATTTCTTTTACATGCTTAAATTAAGGGAGAACACTGTGTAATGGATATCACTAAATTGTTTTCAATACAACTCTTGCATGAACCATCCCACCAGTTTATTGACTGCTACAGTAACAATAACTTACAGATGTCATCTTCTCTGAAGTCCACAGATTTCACGCTACAAGTGTGCCCCTTGAACACTGCCAAGCAGTCATCGCGGTTGACATCCCAAAGTCTCACTGTCTGGTCACCAGATGCTGTAACCTGTTGAAATTCATCAGCACACTCATTACAATAATTTAATTTCATATCTGTGAAAGAAAAATTATTCAATCAGTTGTAAAGTAGCAGAATTATTTACCAAAAAGAAAACAGAAATCTTCAACATTGGACACAGAATTAATTGTCAGGTCTGTAATATAATCTCCATCATCAAGCAAAAGTAACACAGCTACAAGATAATTTGATTTTATCAACTGAGTTAAAAATTTAAATAGGCCATCGTAAATAATTTCTAAGGCTTTTGTTTTTTTCTTTGGAGCATTAGCCCTTGGTCAGAGGGAAGAAATGTCAGCTTTAGAAACTCTTTACAGTGGTCAATTTACATTATAAACCCAGTTAAAAAAATCAAATTATCTTGTAATATCTTGTATCCCCCCACTGATGCAGCAACACAGTCTCTATAGAAACTAAACCCCCCTTAAAACAGCAACAGTTTTATTAAAACAAAAAAAAATTCTCCATAACTATTGGTTCAATGGTCAGCTGCTAGAGTGGAGGAAATGAAATTTACTAATAAATATTGCAGATCAATATCAGCCCACCGCCCACCTACCCCTCCCTTAACTCAACAACAGTCGATTGATAACAAGTTAGGGTTAATGTTGGGTCAGGGGAGGGGTAGGTGGGCAGTTGCCCAGATACTGATATTGATCCAATATTGCTAACTTAATTTTTTGAAACACCCCTGAATAATGACGTTCAATCTTCTGATGTCTCCTTATGGCTTTTGAAATAATTTTTCTCCAATTTACATCTTACCATATATTGCTCCCAGTGCATCCATGCAATATCAAACACTGCATTTTCATGAGCATTCCATTCTGAAATTTTTAAAAAGTTCAATTGAATATTATTCCCAGTCTTGGGTCCTCAAGAGAAATGAATGAACATATAGAATCTGCAATGGATAATTTTATGCTCATACCTTTTATGAGTGATTTTGGAGATGTTCTCCTTGAATCCAGTATTTGAACCCAACCTTCTTCATCAGCAATCCCCAACAGATGTCCACCGAGACCAGCTTGCAATGATAAAATACATTTTAAAAATATCGACATGATAAACTGTTTGAGTTACCAGATTGCCAGCCAAAAACGAAAGAAACGGACAGTCTTTAGCTGGAGAAAACTTACCATGACTAAAACGACATGCAAATGGTGGTACATCGATCTGCAATTGCAAAACAAAGCGAAGCTCAGAGATTATTTTTGATTTTGTGTTGTACATTCGATCTAATTTAAAGTTTTATGGTGAGTAAAACGAGTTCTAAATAAATAGATCATGGAGGTAATTTTTCTATACACCTACCTCTCTTCTTTGGACGAGATATTCATCATCTCTAACACAACTGAACGTATTTAACGCGAAGTCAAAAGGAAAAGCTGAAATATTCAAAGAGGAAGTTGTTCGCTTTGTGTACTAGTCAACTACACGATTTGTTTTGAAAACACACGATAATAATCCGTCACTTTCGCACTCACCCCTCTTCAGCGGACTAGGAACAAGTTGTCTATGGAAAATTGAATCAAGAAGAGTCATATTTTGTCAGTATTCGTCATGAATATAAACCCACGTTGAAATTTATCACGGCAGCAGAAAGAAGGAGTCTTCCCGCGAAATCAAAAGTGCGCGGGAAGGTTTCAACACTGGCCTCTGATTGGTTTGTTATTCGCGGAAAGATCCCAGCATGCTCTTCTATAGCATCGCCAACGTGGATTTGTGGGATATGTGATTCCAACATGGCGTCCTTACTAAGCTTTGGAACTTTCACAAACATTGGAGAAAAATCTTCCAATAGTTCTGACAGCTGGCAAGATGCGAACAGTGCATTGTCAGAGCTTGATAAAGGTAATAAATGCTACTTTGCAGACAAGCTTTATTCCCAATATCCCAAAATTTATAAACCGTAACACCAGTCTGCAAGCTGTCGTAAGTCTCACTCAAGTGTCGACAACGGGGATGATTTTATTTTCATTTTAGGACTGCGATCAAGTAAAGCTGGAGAACAGTGTGAGGCAATAGTCAGATTCCCAGGGTTATTTGAGAAATATCCCTTCCCAATTTTAATCAATTCTGCTCTGCTAAAGCTGGCTGATGTCTTTCGTATCGGGTAAAGAGATTATTTTTTTGTCAATTATGTGTAATTTGATCGATGTTTCATGCGAAAGAAAAGGGAATTGAGCACATCTGTTTCTTCGCATTCTGCTAAAAATCAAATAAAAACCTAGATTCCATGCCTATGTTTCTCCTTTTTTTCGCAGGAGTAATTTTTTGCGGCTTTGCATTCTGAAGGTTATTCAACAAAGTGAAAAACACCTGGATAAGATTTTGAATGTGGATGAATTCTTGAAGCGAATTTACTCTGTTATTCATTCAAATGATCCAGTGGCAAGAGCCATCACTGTCAGGTGAATAGAAAAAGGATTGTTTATTCATTGAACAGATTATAGGTTATTAGTGGAATGGGTTGCATATAGAGGCAACAAAATGATTTTTATGATCATGTGACATGATCGTGCAAGTGAGAGTAGCCTTGTAAATGAATGTTGTTTGAGGTAATTGGAGACACTTTTGATAAACTCAGCAGAGGTCATGGTCAGAGTCAAAAAAAAAAATTCATACTCTCAAAATGACTTTTGAGGGCATGAAGGTTTCAATTCTCATCCCATGTCTGTTGAAAGTTGATTCAGTGTAATAAAGAATATTGTATTGCATTTGTTTCTTATTTCAACATATTGCTTCTTTAGAGTTCTTGGTAGTATTGCTTGTATCGTCTCTGAAAGAAAGAATGTCCACCACAGGTAAACAATGTTTGACTGTAATACTTAGCAGTGTTTTCTCCACTTTAACCTTTTGATCCCTATGGGTGACTAGCTTCTAAAATCTCTTTACAATATATCCTCTGAATCAAACATGAAGGTCATGAGAATAAAGGAAATGATCACCAACTGAAGAAGCTCTTGATTGTTAAACAAATTCTCCTTGTCAGCACCTTAGGAAATATGCAGAGAGCAGTATGGAGAATATTTATACTGATGTTGAGGTGTAAAGGGTTCGATGATTGCTTCTAATAAGAACACTCAGGTTGAAGTTAACATAAGTAGTGGATTTATTAGAGACAGTTTTTTTTTTTTCAAATTGTTGAACTGAATATGAAAACCTCCTCTTTGTCACATTGTAGCATAAGAAGCAGCTTGGAATCACATGATCAGGTGGAATTAGAGGCCGCAATTTTTGCAACAGACAGGCTTTGTGCACAGTCCAGGTGATAATTGTCTATAGAGGTCATGAAAAATTAAGGATTATTCCTGACAACTGACAACTAATGGTTGACATGTAGCTGTAACAACTCACTTCATTTTATGAAAATCTTTGTCCAAGTCATATAGTTTGGGTAATTTTGCAGTGTCAATTAGTTTTAAATTTGTGTTTTTGTTGAGAAAATGAGTGGAGTGTTTTACTGAGTGAATAAATTTGTTCTGCTCTTGGCAACCCTTGTTGAAGGTGATTATTGTACAAAGATTTTCCTGCAAACTTAATAAACTTGAAACTTGAACTTGAGATTATGACTAAGGCCTTCTAGTGCTTTGTTATCTTACAATTGCATGTTTGACTCTTTCTCTTTTTTTTTGTTACTGACAGAGAATTTGCCTCTGGTCTCTACAACAAAATAGCACAGCTTATTGAAGGTAAGTTGGGAGTGTGTTGGTACAGATGCTTGATAATATTATGTACTTGTGAGGGCCTAAATGCACTTATTGACTTTATTGTTTTCCTGTTAGGGTTATAATGTGGTTATTGACTTTATTGTTTCTCTTTTAGGACTGAATACTCCTGTGGAAATGAAGCTGAAGTTAATATCTATTTTCAGACACATGCATTATGACTTACAGCTGACTGCAAAGGTAAATTTAAATAACTGAAATATCAGATATCATCTTTTATTTCCCAGCAAAAATGCTCTAGGTTAACAGTGTTTGAAGCATGACCACAGTGACATCACATTTAAGCATTGTGGCAATAAATAGTTTTTGTGCGCTGCTTATCAAATATGGTTTGAAAAAAAGAAAAAACTCATTTGCGTACTACAGGGCTTAAACCTTTCACCCCTAAGAGTGACCAGCATCTAATTTCTCTTACAAAATTACTCCTGAATTTGACTTTGTGGTCATGAGAATAACAGAAACAATCAAGAACTAAAGAATTTCTGAACTGTTACTCAAATTCTTCCTTGTCAGCACCTTAGGAAATTTAAAAAAAAAAAAAAGGACAGAGAATATGCAACATGATGTTAGGTTGTAAAGGACTCAAAAGATTGGTTTGATTTTTTTTTGTGGTCTTCTTCTCTACAGGTCCATGAATTATGTTCCTCTCTTCTTGCTTCTCATCCCACATGCCAGTTTGTTGTTGTCACCTTACACACCTTATCTTGTCTTGCTGTATCATCAGTGATTGACATCCCTAAACAGGTAAGACTGGCTTGTTACTTAAACTGGTCGAATCACTGAACCGATGAACACATGACTTCTCCATGCCTAGTCAATACACTATTCAGGGAACTCTTCATGAGAGTATCCAAACCAATCAGGGGAAGCATATCATCTCAAAAGAATGTAAAATACTCTGACTTTTCATAAAATACAAGGAAAATGTAGCAGCTAGAGGAAACAATTTAAAGTTCATAGAATTTTTGAGCTTTTTTTTGGTTAGCAAAGTTTTATCCGTTTTTATCTCTGTTGAAATGATGAGAAAAGAAGCCAAGTTCTAAAGACTGAAACAAATAAGTATATGAAGTTCTTAAAAATTATCTTGCAGACTGAGTTGTTACTGAAGTACCTAACACAAGATCCTAGAAAAGTAGTTAAGAACCACACCCTTTCAGATTTAAGGATGCTAGCCAAGGGGGCACCACACATGTGGAGAATCCAGGACATCGAGGTACTGTGATACCTAAGATCTCAAATCCTTCACTTTGTTTTGACAAGAAACTAAAATTTGAAGTTGTCAGCTTTATAGTAATTTGCTAAGTCAAATGGTTATGTTAAATTGAAGTGTCAACTTCACTGCAATAATCCTGTCACTCTTTCATGTGCATGCCATCATAGCAGTCAACAGTTTCTTTTAGAAAACAATTATTCTAATTAATTTGTCTTTTCATTTTATGCTACTTACTGTGATATTTGATTGCTCTAAAGTCAGGATGAATTTCAACAGAACATAAATGAAACAGTTAAAACAGCAAGACCAAAAAAAATTTAAAAAAAAGTTGAAAAATGACTATACCAGTGGTTTTTTGCGAGACAATCCGAAGTCAAGGATTTCATTTCTAAATTTTCATTCAATCCATTTGTTAACATTTTTTTCTTGTTCTATCCAGGCTCTCTCTGAATTTATTTTGAGTAGCTGTTATGATAACCTTACATTTTCTGCATTGAGGACAATGGTAACTCTATCAAGATCAGAGGCTGTAGATCTGCTCAAGAGTGAAAAAGGTAAATTTGATGACTTTAACCCTCTCACTCTCAAGATCTGATTGTCAATTCTCCCTGCTAGTGGCTACAAATTTACTTGTAAATTAGTTAGGACAATTTGGTGTTAAATCAAAATAACAACTTCTACCTGATAAGTTCAAGTATTATCATTACCTGTTTGTTTGATATTATAATGTAATTTCCGACATTTGAGTGTCATGGGAACAAATTAGTTGGAAGTTAATATTCTGATGGCACTTTGAGGAGGAATACATTTCCACTCATTTTTTGGTCACATCTAAAGAGTGGTTTTAAAGTGGTTTTTTGAATCTGATGTATCACAGGTTGTTTTTGTAGAACCACTAGTTTCAGGGTGCACATGTTAAGGCTGTATCAGGATGTGTATACTAGAAGACTGACTGACTCGTCTTACCTAACTTTTGTGTAGTCAAAATTGGATGTCATAAAGAGAAATTACATGTTTATTACTTCTGGGAGTTAAAAGGTTAATATTTTATTTAAGCTTTGATTTCGATAATTCAACAATACTATAGATTAGAGAATAAAGGAAATGATCACCAATTTAAAGAAGTTCTTGATTGTTAAACAAATTCTCCTTGTCAGCACCTTAGGAAACGTACAGAGAACAGTATGGAGAATTTGGATACTGATGTTAGGATGTAAAGGGTTGAAGTGCTATGTTGATGAAAATTTTTCTTTTCTCTGTTCCTGACTTTTCAGTCCTTGAAATCTGCCAGAAAGAAACAAATTCCTATAACTCTGCTATAGCAGCCTTAGCATCAGAACTCCTTGTCAACATTGCTGTGGCAGGAATTAAGTCTGGTTTGTTTTAGAACTTTTTTCCTTTTTGTTCTATCTAACTCATGTTTACATATAACAAGAGGGTGTTTTTACATTTGGTAGATCATTTGGAGATGGAATTGATATAAAACCAGAATTTTTCTTATCTCTAGCTTATGTGCCATTAAAAAGTTTGGGACGAGTTTTTTGGAGATATCTCTGTGACAAATCTCTTCTTTTGTACAGCATCTACCATTTTCTTACGGTGATCATTAATACAGACTCAA